CAATCCACTCGTTCAACACAAATAAAACTACAGACAAACCGAATTTATTTTAGAGCCAAATAGGAAAACCCGATCACATAACGGCAACGGTAACAACAGGTCAAACGAGTAGAAAAGTCATAGAGCAACTATAGTAAAAAAGCTCTTTTCCGATCGAGTAGGTTTGTACACAAAAGACACATTGGACTGAAGAATTGGTAATAAGCTGATTTAGAGTCTGTCAACTACACACTGTGACTACTGCTTCACAAAAATACACGAATTGATTCAGTTCCAATTGAAACGAAATATAGTGAGGAATCCATGCTGAAAGAACACCACAAGCCATAAGGTCCCTCGGTCGATGTCCACGAAACTAGAGTAGTAACAGACAGAAGAGAAATTGGTCTTTGCATTGTAATCTTAAGTGACATGTTACATTGGAATAAAAACTACTGGGGTCAATCTCCCAGGAATACACACTCTGGCCACCTATATCCAATTATTAGTCTAAAATAATCCAATTATACTCTATCACACCTGAAACACTCAAACTTCCGCAGCACTATATACCAAAAACAATAGGGTTCCTAAATAGCCTATTCATTTCACTTTACTCTCCATGTTTTCCACAAATGATAAGCAATCTCAACTTAATGGATTGCTCACAAACCCCAACTCTCTCGTTCTCATATCTACCATCTTTCACATGATCAAATGCAAAATTAATATCAATCCACAATGTTCCATAACAATCCTTTACTATTCCAACCAGCTCCTCAACCAAATATACTGTTAAAATGAAGTCATCACCGAATAATCACAACCTCATATGAAGCATCGCCTCATCGCACTATCGAAAAACTATTGTCCATCTCTTCTAATAATAGAAATTCTAATCATCCACTGAATGTTCAGTCATCGACAAACTTTTGTGCTGTCACATCGATTAAACACTTTCAAGTAACTTCTATCAAACTCAATCGAATTACATTTTGAACAAGAGAAAGAAATGAGAATAGCAATAATAATAATAATAATAATCATTGGAGTTTAGCACTTCATACATACACTTCCACATATAATATTTACATTTGCAACTACACACTCTTGTGTTTAGATAGTGCCAAACGGGTTGCATAGCAATGGATACCGTTTGTCAAATCCCTACTAGAGGATCATTCATAATTAAACATGATTGTTATATTTGCATGAAGAAATATCATTGTAACTCTAACATCACAGTTACCTGTCACGACCGTATTCTGATTGATGCAGCATCACGGTTAATACAGAGCTATTTACAATCTTATATATCCGCTTATGATTATCAGCACAGTACTTATTGATGAACTGAATACTCGGACTTATCTTAGGTGCTTATTTTGCATTATCTGTCAGCAATGCGCGTAATGCTAACCAATCAGAACGACAATCTACTCTCCAAAGTCAGCAGGTACATCACGAAAACTATTCTCAAAACAATAATCTCAAACGGTTACATAATTAGACAAAGTAAGATCATTTTTCATCTAACCGAAATAGCACAATTAGGTCAGACCAGTCAGAAGTTGTGAACTAAACAATGCACTCTTACAACTAACAATATTGGAGATAGCCATTCATAAAGAGGCACTACTATCTTAATAAAAATAATGTGCCTACTTCATTGACATTAACTCGCCTACTACACTTTCTTTATTTATATCCTACTTTTAACTGTTTCGTATTAAATGTATATGCAGTGTGAAACTAAACACTTCCCCAATAAATAACTCAATACCACTTCAAAAAATCAACTCCATTCATTCATCATCATCATCATCTATTAACCACATATGACGCTTTATGTTCAAGTCGTAAGTGATTAATTCAATCGATTCTCACTGACAAATAGATTACCCATCAGTTCAACTTATGTGTACATAACATTTAGCGTCGTCATTGAAAATTCACAGCTCCATATTAAACATCATCGTTCACAAATCCCTAACTTGTACAACCACCACTCAACTACATATATGAAGACCTCAAGAACATAGTGGATATGATCAGACGCTGAAAATAATCACTACGATTCTAATTGTCAATTCCAGATAGATAATCACCACTCGAATTAAAACTTGTCGGCTATTCCCACTTACATTGATAAGTTAGTCAACAGTTCGTCAACTCACAAATCAATCTATTATTAAATATCATCTTACTAATCTGTTTATTAACTGGAGAATGTTTCTCTACATATGTAAATATCTCGTTTTCATGGTGCATAATTTCACGACAAATTCATAAATTATGTAAATGACATGAACCGCTACAAAATTCTCAGGTGGTTTTGTCAAATCACTTGAGTTGAGTCAACTCCAACTTTGCAGTCATGGTTCACACACACACACACACACACACACAACGAGATTACTCATTTTAACACTGTTTACCCTATGTGTTGTGGGTAATTCTTTGCTTTCACTGTACTCTAAATAATATCCCCATTAGATCAATAGGGTTTATCCTGATTTTAACGCATAATCTACACTACACTATTTGCTGAACATCAATGGATTTTCAGTTGAATTCCTGGTATCAAGTCTGTGACTTTCTTTAATTTCCCTTATTCATTTGCTCTATTTGTTATATATGTATTATTCTAGAGTTCAACTCTTTTGTGCTTATTTTTTTATGCAATAACTGTTGCGACAGCAATTTCTACCGCCCAACACTTTCTCAGTCACCGACCACTCATCTGAGATCTGAGCCATTTCAATCAGCCTGATCAGATGATTAACACTTTTAGTAATATGAGTATTGTCATTTAATCCATGATTCGTGGCATAGAAAGCCCTTGCACAAACCTAAACTGCTTTAGCGAATTCGCATTAAATGAACTCGCTAAAGTAATAACATACAAAACACACATTTCTACATGCTTCATAATTCTCAATAACTAAGTTACTTAATATTTTAATATCAATAATAATAATAACGGTCCATGACCAACCAGTCATAAACCATCACTTATGCAACAACTTAACATCCATTAGTCAAATTAGTGTCACTCCGCTTTCTTTGCACCTCAGAACGAAATCTTGCACGCGGCAGTTGATTAACCAAACAATAATCAATATACTAGAAGCCTTAAATTCTTGTTTTCTTTTAACAATACATAAGTAACCGATTATAAACAAGTGCAAATTATTACAATCAGACTTAAATCAAGTACAAAATTTGAGAATATTCAATTATTTTGCGCAACATTTCTTCGCGTTTAGTCTGTAATCATTTTCAAACAGTAGAAATGTACAGAAGAATACATTAAATAACAGCTATTTCAACAAGCTATATCATACTTATAAAACAACTACTAAACAACTAGTTTCGGTAAACCCCTATCAACCACATATACTTTCCCATAATATTGCGATTTAACTAACCTATATACATTTAATGTAAGTAAAACCATTTAGAAAGAATATAATACCTGAATATAAAGCGGCATTGAATCATAATCATCAAGTGTCCAACTATCTTCCTGAAATATTCCTAATATGGTATTCAGTCGAGTAACTTTATTTCCCGGCGTTATTTCACTCAACTTATATACCACTTTTTCTTCACAACTCAAGACAAACAGGTTATTCCACAAAACGATATACAACAGAGAATTTAGTAGATCATTAGAAGAAGTTTTCATTGTTACATTTACCTAACTCAATCTATCACTTGGAAATTAACATGAGCGTTACTTAATTTGACAAAACTTAAGCTTCATTTACTTGTTAAACACAAAAACAAAAAACTTTTCTACAGTTCGCTCCAGCTCAAACGCATAACAAATCAATATCTTTAGAGAAAAAAAAATACTCTCAACAACAGAGCCTTATTTGTAAACAATGAAATGCTGAAAACTTTAATTAAATTAGCTAATACTAGGTTCGTCAGTCCAGGAAAAAAAAAACATGCCAACTAACGATTGGAATAAGTAATAACAGATGACTAACCGACAATGAAACTATTGTAATAAACGACTAACATCTATAATTCATTTCGTCACCGAGGCTATCACTACGTTCCGAGGCCTATTTTCCTTCCTTTACCATCTTCATTTTCTTAAAACATGACTAAATATGATCTACGCATGAGCCCATAACAATAACAACACGACCTGAGTTGAGCTGTAATATTCTTTTTTACTTGATGGGCGCAGCTATTTTCCATAAAATACGCTTACATGGTCGAGCGTTTATGGCCTCACTACATTATTGTGGTGAGTTCTTCTACTAAAGGGAAGGATAGTACATGAATGTCCAGTGGTGAAGTCAGTTCAATGGATATATAATCGGAAAACCTCGAATATATTATCGCCATGATCGTCAGTGAATGAATGGTGTGTGAACGCACATCTATCACCTACTACCCAACCAACGAATTTCTCACGTCGCTCGACTGTCTTATGAATATGAAATTCAAATCAAATGTTCGTAAGGAAAGAAATTCGTTCTGATTAAAATGCTTTTACAGGAACCGTGACAACTTTAAATAACAACGTACATTACTAGTCTTATAGGGTAGTTATTAAAGGCCAAAATCACGTTAATGCAAACAACTGCATCTTATACCGCCCTACACTAATGCATTGCTCGCATGTAACTCTTAATCCTTCCATTCAAATTTAAAACTTGACTAATTACCCTATCGTTGTCGGAATTCTCATTTCGACTAGAAGTTCCAAAGTCGATAAAAAAGCTCAACGATCTTACTGAGCCTAGTAGGATATTGTATTATTGTAGTTACGCTATGTACAAATAATAAGAGAAAAGAACCATCAACTGTTACTTTTATAAAAACCATCAATGTCAAGTCAAGAAACATACGAAACATTCACTGAAATCTATACAACCTCCATCAATTCAGTGTACGCAAAAGTATTCTATTCTCACTAAATATGCTGCTTCATTACCATTTCAACCCTAAATCCAAATATAAACACCCCTACAATCCACTCGTTCAACACAAATAAAACTACAGACAAACCGAATTTATTTTAGAGCCAAATAGGAAAACCCGATCACATAACGGCAACGGTAACAACAGGTCAAACGAGTAGAAAAGTCATAGAGCAACTATAGTAAAAAAGCTCTTTTCCGATCGAGTAGGTTTGTACACAAAAGACACATTGGACTGAAGAATTGGTAATAAGCTGATTTAGAGTCTGTCAACTACACACTGTGACTACTGCTTCACAAAAATACACGAATTGATTCAGTTCCAATTGAAACGAAATATAGTGAGGAATCCATGCTGAAAGAACACCACAAGCCATAAGGTCCCTCGGTCGATGTCCACGAAACTAGAGTAGTAACAGACAGAAGAGAAATTGGTCTTTGCATTGTAATCTTAAGTGACATGTTACATTGGAATAAAAACTACTGGGGTCAATCTCCCAGGAATACACACTCTGGCCACCTATATCCAATTATTAGTCTAAAATAATCCAATTATACTCTATCACACCTGAAACACTCAAACTTCCGCAGCACTATATACCAAAAACAATAGGGTTCCTAAATAGCCTATTCATTTCACTTTACTCTCCATGTTTTCCACAAATGATAAGCAATCTCAACTTAATGGATTGCTCACAAACCCCAACTCTCTCGTTCTCATATCTACCATCTTTCACATGATCAAATGCAAAATTAATATCAATCCACAATGTTCCATAACAATCCTTTACTATTCCAACCAGCTCCTCAACCAAATATACTGTTAAAATGAAGTCATCACCGAATAATCACAACCTCATATGAAGCATCGCCTCATCGCACTATCGAAAAACTATTGTCCATCTCTTCTAATAATAGAAATTCTAATCATCCACTGAATGTTCAGTCATCGACAAACTTTTGTGCTGTCACATCGATTAAACACTTTCAAGTAACTTCTATCAAACTCAATCGAATTACATTTTGAACAAGAGAAAGAAATGAGAATAGCAATAATAATAATAATAATAATCATTGGAGTTTAGCACTTCATACATACACTTCCACATATAATATTTACATTTGCAACTACACACTCTTGTGTTTAGATAGTGCCAAACGGGTTGCATAGCAATGGATACCGTTTGTCAAATCCCTACTAGAGGATCATTCATAATTAAACATGATTGTTATATTTGCATGAAGAAATATCATTGTAACTCTAACATCACAGTTACCTGTCACGACCGTATTCTGATTGATGCAGCATCACGGTTAATACAGAGCTATTTACAATCTTATATATCCGCTTATGATTATCAGCACAGTACTTATTGATGAACTGAATACTCGGACTTATCTTAGGTGCTTATTTTGCATTATCTGTCAGCAATGCGCGTAATGCTAACCAATCAGAACGACAATCTACTCTCCAAAGTCAGCAGGTACATCACGAAAACTATTCTCAAAACAATAATCTCAAACGGTTACATAATTAGACAAAGTAAGATCATTTTTCATCTAACCGAAATAGCACAATTAGGTCAGACCAGTCAGAAGTTGTGAACTAAACAATGCACTCTTACAACTAACAATATTGGAGATAGCCATTCATAAAGAGGCACTACTATCTTAATAAAAATAATGTGCCTACTTCATTGACATTAACTCGCCTACTACACTTTCTTTATTTATATCCTACTTTTAACTGTTTCGTATTAAATGTATATGCAGTGTGAAACTAAACACTTCCCCAATAAATAACTCAATACCACTTCAAAAAATCAACTCCATTCATTCATCATCATCATCATCTATTAACCACATATGACGCTTTATGTTCAAGTCGTAAGTGATTAATTCAATCGATTCTCACTGACAAATAGATTACCCATCAGTTCAACTTATGTGTACATAACATTTAGCGTCGTCATTGAAAATTCACAGCTCCATATTAAACATCATCGTTCACAAATCCCTAACTTGTACAACCACCACTCAACTACATATATGAAGACCTCAAGAACATAGTGGATATGATCAGACGCTGAAAATAATCACTACGATTCTAATTGTCAATTCCAGATAGATAATCACCACTCGAATTAAAACTTGTCGGCTATTCCCACTTACATTGATAAGTTAGTCAACAGTTCGTCAACTCACAAATCAATCTATTATTAAATATCATCTTACTAATCTGTTTATTAACTGGAGAATGTTTCTCTACATATGTAAATATCTCGTTTTCATGGTGCATAATTTCACGACAAATTCATAAATTATGCAAATGACATGAACCGCTACAAAATTCTCAGGTGGTTTTGTCAAATCACTTGAGTTGAGTCAACTCCAACTTTGCAGTCATGGTTCACACACACACACACACACACAACGAGATTACTCATTTTAACACTGTTTACCCTATGTGTTGTGGGTAATTCTTTGCTTTCACTGTACTCTAAATAATATCCCCATTAGATCAATAGGGTTTATCCTGATTTTAACGCATAATCTACACTACACTATTTGCTGAACATCAATGGATTTTCAGTTGAATTCCTGGTATCAAGTCTGTGACTTTCTTTAATTTCCCTTATTCATTTGCTCTATTTGTTATATATGTATTATTCTAGAGTTCAACTCTTTTGTGCTTATTTTTTTATGCAATAACTGTTGCGACAGCAATTTCTACCGCCCAACACTTTCTCAGTCACCGACCACTCATCTGAGATCTGAGCCATTTCAATCAGCCTGATCAGATGATTAACACTTTTAGTAATATGAGTATTGTCATTTAATCCATGATTCGTGGCATAGAAAGCCCTTGCACAAACCTAAACTGCTTTAGCGAATTCGCATTAAATGAACTCGCTAAAGTAATAACATACAAAACACACATTTCTACATGCTTCATAATTCTCAATAACTAAGTTACTTAATATTTTAATATCAATAATAATAATAACGGTCCATGACCAACCAGTCATAAACCATCACTTATGCAACAACTTAACATCCATTAGTCAAATTAGTGTCACTCCGCTTTCTTTGCACCTCAGAACGAAATCTTGCACGCGGCAGTTGATTAACCAAACAATAATCAATATACTAGAAGCCTTAAATTCTTGTTTTCTTTTAACAATACATAAGTAACCGATTATAAACAAGTGCAAATTATTACAATCAGACTTAAATCAAGTACAAAATTTGAGAATATTCAATTATTTTGCGCAACATTTCTTCGCGTTTAGTCTGTAATCATTTTCAAACAGTAGAAATGTACAGAAGAATACATTAAATAACAGCTATTTCAACAAGCTATATCATACTTATAAAACAACTACTAAACAACTAGTTTCGGTAAACCCCTATCAACCACATATACTTTCCCATAATATTGCGATTTAACTAACCTATATACATTTAATGTAAGTAAAACCATTTAGAAAGAATATAATACCTGAATATAAAGCGGCATTGAATCATAATCATCAAGTGTCCAACTATCTTCCTGAAATATTCCTAATATGGTATTCAGTCGAGTAACTTTATTTCCCGGCGTTATTTCACTCAACTTATATACCACTTTTTCTTCACAACTCAAGACAAACAGGTTATTCCACAAAACGATATACAACAGAGAATTTAGTAGATCATTAGAAGAAGTTTTCATTGTTACATTTACCTAACTCAATCTATCACTTGGAAATTAACATGAGCGTTACTTAATTTGACAAAACTTAAGCTTCATTTACTTGTTAAACACAAAAACAAAAAACTTTTCTACAGTTCGCTCCAGCTCAAACGCATAACAAATCAATATCTTTAGAGAAAAAAAAATACTCTCAACAACAGAGCCTTATTTGTAAACAATGAAATGCTGAAAACTTTAATTAAATTAGCTAATACTAGGTTCGTCAGTCCAGGAAAAAAAAAACATGCCAACTAACGATTGGAATAAGTAATAACAGATGACTAACCGACAATGAAACTATTGTAATAAACGACTAACATCTATAATTCATTTCGTCACCGAGGCTATCACTACGTTCCGAGGCCTATTTTCCTTCCTTTACCATCTTCATTTTCTTAAAACATGACTAAATATGATCTACGCATGAGCCCATAACAATAACAACACGACCTGAGTTGAGCTGTAATATTCTTTTTTACTTGATGGGCGCAGCTATTTTCCATAAAATACGCTTACATGGTCGAGCGTTTATGGCCTCACTACATTATTGTGGTGAGTTCTTCTACTAAAGGGAAGGATAGTACATGAATGTCCAGTGGTGAAGTCAGTTCAATGGATATATAATCGGAAAACCTCGAATATATTATCGCCATGATCGTCAGTGAATGAATGGTGTGTGAACGCACATCTATCACCTACTACCCAACCAACGAATTTCTCACGTCGCTCGACTGTCTTATGAATATGAAATTCAAATCAAATGTTCGTAAGGAAAGAAATTCGTTCTGATTAAAATGCTTTTACAGGAACCGTGACAACTTTAAATAACAACGTACATTACTAGTCTTATAGGGTAGTTATTAAAGGCCAAAATCACGTTAATGCAAACAACTGCATCTTATACCGCCCTACACTAATGCATTGCTCGCATGTAACTCTTAATCCTTCCATTCAAATTTAAAACTTGACTAATTACCCTATCGTTGTCGGAATTCTCATTTCGACTAGAAGTTCCAAAGTCGATAAAAAAGCTCAACGATCTTACTGAGCCTAGTAGGATATTGTATTATTGTAGTTACGCTATGTACAAATAATAAGAGAAAAGAACCATCAACTGTTACTTTTATAAAAACCATCAATGTCAAGTCAAGAAACATACGAAACATTCACTGAAATCTATACAACCTCCATCAATTCAGTGTACGCAAAATATTCTGTTAGCGGGATATGGACTAGATTAAAACATGCTCAATGCATGATTGCTTTGCTGCACGCTGATTGGCTAATTCTTATACAATCAGCACTAGTCGATAGTTGGAGAATTCTCTGGAATCTTCTTATGTAAAAACTATAAATATACTGACGTTTTCCCTATTGTGCTTCTGGCTTGCATCTTGCTTCCATCTAACCTTGTTATTTGGAATATAATCTCTTTCCTGTTCAACCGTGTTCTGATTTGGGGTCTTGTCGAGTGAATCGGTGTCCAAGAATACTAAGCAATAGGAATAGCTGGGTCATAATCGTAAGAAAGTGATTTATAACATATTCTATTGTATTACTAAAGTAAATTAAGGCTCGTTGCCCAATCTTTCTGATTGTAGCATCGTACTGAGGGTAGAGGAGTTGATTTGAGGCTTACTAACAGTCGGTTGAAGACGGTAAGCTAAAATTGCATGCAACTCTGTGAGATGCTGTTCTTATCAACTCTTGATTTTTAAGGACTCGTAATGTTTTTTGACGCTCATCGGTGAAGCGTAATTCTCTGTAGCGAAAACATTTACAAAACTTAACGGTCAAGAAACCTGGTGATTGGATCTCATTGTCAAACTGCAGACAATATAACGCATTTGATTGACACCGAGAGCTATTCCCACCTATGGGCTGCTAAAATCCTAGTATGGGTGAAATTAAACGTGAGATAATAGTTCGTTATATCACAGCTTTTGTATGCATTTAGAACACTAAAGAGTACTTTGGCAGCTCAAATTCACCCTCGTTACAGTGACTTTGACCGCTATATTACGCCTCTTGACTGCAAAACGTCTACCATTCTGAAATAACTGTCTTATTCATTTCTTAAAAAAGATTACAAAATGCATTTAATGGGCGTTTGGTTAAGTATATATCAGCAGATTGATTTACATGGTTGTCAAAATTTTTTCTTGTATACACTTTTAAAAATGGTATCAACGGGTCATGTGAGTGATAATGATAATATGACTGGTTAAATTAATCTACGGATAGAGAAAGTCAGATGCTTATGTCAGTTCAATAACATTTTACAAAACTATTTCAGGCATAAGAGCTGAGTGGTACAGTGATGTGATCCATGCTAATAAAACTTGACTTCGGGTAAAGGATTTTTAGTAACCACCTATGATCGCTATTTACGAAGGACTGTTGGCACTGAATACTTGGAGTTAGAAATAATAACGACCATAATTCAATTAGCCCTACCTCCTTAGAATAATAACTATGGCACGCAGAATGTATACCAGTGATTATTACCGTACCTTTGATTCGATGACACTGGGACAGTGTGAGGGAAGAAAGTCTATGGTATGGTGTAGTGAAGGATAGCTTGAGTTAGTGCGTTACTGTAACACTCCAGATAGGACCTCAAAGATAACTCGATTCAGTGACATGGTTTAGAATACAGTAGGTGACGGTACTATTAATTCTCGATAGCAAATTTTAAAATTTGATATGACGCACACCTTTAGTCGAAGACATCTATCTTGGTTATGACATTACTTGAACTACTTAATTAGATGGTTTCTATTTCTTTTTAGATGATTTTTATAGCATATCCCCTACCTTCCTATTGTACTAAATAATTCTCACGTTATATACAAATATTAAAATTTAATGGAACTTATGGGAAGTTCGCGATCCGTTGGACCCCCTAAATCAAATATCATATGAAATGTTTACCAGAAATCCAGACTGACGTAACAAATACTTTATCATCGTGTTATGAAAGTTAAACAAGAACAAACTTATCAAAATTTACAGGAACTATGAACGAATAAGGTCAACGATATACACTTCACCATCGTAAAATGCGAACACACCAAATATGAAGAGTTAAGACGTCCTTAACATTGATAATCGATTGGATGGTAATAAACATTTGTTTCAAAATCCTACACTAGATATCTCCTTTAGAAACATATTCACAGAACTTACTGGCAGTTAACCAGTGGACTAACTTTTAAATATACTTACAAAGCGAGATTTTATAGTTAATTTACACCATAAGTTATGTTCTCAATTTGTGAAATAATTGGTGTAGTTTGATATCATCTGGAAACATTGGCTTAGAGTATGTTGAAGGAAATGCTAACAATGATCTTACAATAAACACACCCAAAATAAAGAAATACTAATGAATCGAGAGGATGTACGTAAATGTTTTGGTACAAACTAACTTAGTCATTGGGTACGATTTGACCCATATATGAGAAAAAAGACTAGGACTTATTCAAGGGATTGATATATTGAGTCAAATTCTAGTTTCAAATCTCAGAAAATAACTAAGTTACACAAAGATTTTCAAAAATGCAAGGAGTTACTTTACATAAAAAGTTTACGAGTAGTCCTACAATATAAAATAAATAAAAATCTTACCTGTTACTTCCGGTGATCAAAATGCAATACCAAGGGTCGACCGCCTACTCGATATCCATTTAGTCCTCTGAGCGCCCTATCAGCTTCGTAACTTGTTTTGAAATCAACTAACGCTTCACCAACAAACTGCCCTTGAGGATCACGGCGTAGTCTTATCGAACCCGGAACGAAGTAATAATCCCGCATTATTCCAGCTAGTTGATCAACTGTACATGCGGGTGGAAGATTTCCGACAAAAACTGTAACAAAGTCAGGAACTGGGCGACGATGTGGAAGAGGAACAGGTTGTCTCGGAACAGATGAAATATCTGATTGGTGTGGTGGGATAGAATGTAAATTATCCACAGGCGGGCGGAACCTACGGAAGGAGTCGTGATGGTCATCAAAAGGGGCAGGTACAGCGGGGCGGTCATAGTAAGAGTCATCGTACTTAGCTCTGCCTACACTTGGGGGACGGCTCTCAAATGGATTCGAAGGTGACGGACGCTGGCGTTGATCCCAATGGATGCGGGATTCCCGAGGATCTCTGTCACGAGATCTTCCGGGTCTGTCAAAGTTGAGTTGTTCATCTTTTGGATCGGCACCCAAACGGTTCAGCATTTCCTCTCGAGAAATGGCTTCTATGTGAAGAGATGGATGTGACTGTTTTGCCTTAGAACCTTCAGCCGATGCTTCATTTACAGCACGACGACAGTTGTTTTCACTAATGAAATCAATGAAAGCAATATTAGCATCAGGAGCCAGTCGTACCGCATCTCCAGGAATTAGGATGGACGGAAACAGATTCAGAACTTCAGAATCTTTTACTGTGCGAGAAAACCCACTGACACAAGCACATGTCAAAAAGCCACCAGGTGGTTTAGTAGGCTCCGAATCGACATCACGAGGAACAGGCGGTTTAATAGGCTCTTTAGTACTTTCAGATTTACTACCGATCGCTAAGGCTGAATAAGCAGTGACTTGCAACTTTGATATTGGTGTTAAGCGCACTGATGGAAGTCCCACATCTGGTCGAAATGGCCGTGGTTTGGCAGAAAGAAGGATTTTGATATCCTCTGCAGAAGGAAGCGTAACTAGTGCCCTAGTTAAGTTGGTACTGCGTGGTGCAGACTTATCATTTGGAGGGAACCGAGCCAGTACAACATTTTCACAAGTTAGACCAGGAGCACCCAAAAACCGAACTACTTCTGTCTTGGTGGTATCAGATGGGAGCTCAGCTAGCTCAAGACAACCATCGTTGTAATGAGGAGGGTAGAACTGATCAGGTGGTGGAAGTTTTTTGGCAACCTCTGGAGGGCATTTTGAAGTAAAGTTTGTATCACTAACACTGTAAAATTCACTTAGAGTGCATTTGACTACTTTTATCACGTCTCCTTTGTGAGGACGATTATTAAAACTGAGTGCTCGTTCATACGAATCACGAGTTGTCATCATTATAAACACATACCCAGTGGGACGTTGTAGCAAATCTTCTTCAACCCGGATACCCCATTTTGGAACAACTTGGACGCCACGTAAAACTTCGAAAACAGTCTTTATTCCAGCTTCTGGGGCGGGCAAACAAACTCTTAGTACGTAATCAGTTTCTCCAGGCACTATGTCAGATGGGCGAGTATATGATGAGGGTTGTGGTCGACGTTTTCGTGGGTACTCTTCAAAGTCTGAAGTCTGATGCTGGAATGGACGCTTTGGTCCTGAAACGGGTGCATTATCGTTGAGCCACGGAGGTCTAACAGAAAAATCGCGTTCCTCTTGCAACCTAGAATCAGTGCATGCAGTTTCACGATCAAGCGGATGACCCGGGCCACTTCTAAATTCTGATGGAAACGGGTGGGTATTTCCATGACCAAATTCACGTGATTGAATATCATGTGGAGGGAACCGATCATTGAATACTCTAGGAGATTGTGCACGATACTTATCATAATCTATCGTCATACCATCCGAGACGTGTAGCGCAGAATAAGGATCAGCATAAGAGTCCCTTGGACTACTTTTGCCTTCATTGTCTTTGCCTCTCGGGACGAAGTTGTCTTCAGAAGTAACCGATGGCGGGTGCCTACTATAATCGTAATCATCGCGATAAGATCTATGTCCCAAGTCAACTCGGTTATTCAAGTATGTATCTCTTGGACCATAGTCGTTAGTTGGTGGGAAGTCTCGTATCGCATCATACCTTGAATGCATGTTAGGTTGGTTATTGTAACTATAATCTCGATCCTGACTAAAATGAGGTCTATCTAGAGGTAAATTTTCGGGATATTTGTCCGGGTTGTTACGTTCAGCTGATTCAATTTGTCCACGAGGGGGATCCAGGGTTACACCTTTGCTATAGGTGTAAGGATACTGCTTGGAGGAATCATCAAATGATTCACGAGTGGCTCCATTACGGTACGATGGGAAGGAACTGGGCAGTGTAGGAGCTGTCACATCTAGTGCATGCATAGTTTCAGTCTTTTGAGAGATAGATTGAGATAAAACCGGATTTCCTCCACTAGAAAATAAGACTGAAGTTTTTGCAGATTCGATTATTGACTGCATTTCGGCTTTACTGCTCAGAAACAGGCGAACAGATGCCCCGTTGATCGTTTGTCGATCGAGCAGCATAGCTTTTCTTGCATCTTCATCTGTAGCAAAGGCAATAAATGCGTCACCTTCCGTGCCCCCGACGATGTGCACGCCCCCTTCAGGAATGGATAACCCGCTGAAAAAGCGTCGAATATTTGAGGCGTTTGCTGAAATTGGTAGGTTTTGGAGTCGAATGATGACAGACATTCTTTGTTCTGCAACAAGAGTAAATCAAAATGTATCACTGGAACCAGGAGATTTCCAGAACAAAAAAATTAGACAAAACTGGATTATTGTTTAATATGACTTGTCCTTTACCATGTCTATATGAATAGGTATAGATAAAAAGGTGAAACGGTCCGTGAACTCTTCACTGGAAAACGGCCTCTTCATTTGATTTTCAAGACAAAATAGAGATCAAAAAATTCGTATTTTTATCATTCGACCTATTTTTTACAGGTTGACTCAGTCATTAATTTCGAAATTTCATGCTTTGAACAACGCATAAACGAACAAACATCTACGAAAACATTTCCAAGTGGAAACAAGAACGATTACATGTTTTACCCAGCCCAGATCTAGAGGGGTAGCGCAGTGGCTATGACTCTACTTACAAATACTTCAGTTTAGCACCCAAGTAGGGTCACTGATTCATAAAGTGTGACTTAAGGGACATAGAGCAACCGGTTAGAGTAATTACCGAATACTTCAAAGGAATTAATACGAAACAAGATGTTGAGTTGTGAATGATGTACAAAACTACCATTAAGTCTGTGATTTGATTTTTGGAATTTCCGTTAGTTGGTGAACACTGAGGGTTCACCTAGGGTAGTTGGAAAACCCAGGTGTTACACATGGGTTACAGGATCCTGGGGAAACAAAAGGCGTATGAACCTATTGTTGGCCACCGGCTATCATGGGACTGCATCTGCTAAAGTTGTCCCGTTGACTTGTGGATTCGACCTCTAGGTCAAAGGCCCGAGGAGTGACCCTCTAGGGAAACCACATGTCTCGGTTTGCGCACACGGGCAGTATTCCAGCCCTCATACAGATAGGATGACAAAGTGTAGCGCATATGTATTTGGTGCCCTCTTGTACCAGTATATATATTCGCTCAAAGGGCTGGACTTTAATATTTGACCTCTCAATTGGAAGTAAACTGTACCACGTCAATGGGAAATCCAAACATGGGACCAAAAAGGGGTTAAATTATTGGTCGAATCTTGCCCACTGGATAACTTGCGTTTTCTAAAGGAAAATAAACAAAATGGACTATAATCACCCAAGGTGATTATGAAATCGAGGCCTGAGCAGTGCTTGCTTTTACTGATTCAGTGTAAATTAAAGACTAACGGAAAGTACTACACTTAGATACACTGCCCTACATTCAAATTCAGATTTGAGGTTTACTAGTCTTAGTACAAATCGACCAGGAATAAATGCACCGGTACAATCCATGCTATTTAGAAGTACAGAGACCAATTGATGTCAACTGAAACCAAGAAGTCGAAACGATTATTCGCATAAGTCTATTACAAAACCCACCCATGGAACCCTAAGCTAATTACGAAAGGAAGTGCATCGCGAATGATAGAAAACAATGTTAAAGCAAAAGCCATAGCTGATTATTTTGAGATGATCTTTACACATGCTCCTAATTTTAACTTAGGATTAGCCCCACATGCAATTAATATTGTTTGTTAAAACTTCAAAATGAAAAATGTTGCTTCAGGATTGGGTTGCATTGACATCTAAACTAATGACAAGGAATGAAGTAGTTGAGAGGGTCGACCGCTTCACTTTTCTTGAGTCTCATCAGCTCTTGTAGCCTGATGTGTGACGAAATTTCAGCACGGTACAGAAGGCTCGACTAGCTTTTGCCAACTTGCGTCATTTATGGAGTAGGCGAAATATTCGTCTACCAAACAAATGACGCTTTACTGCGAAGCAGTTCACTCCATCCTACTTTATGGCAGTGAAACATGGCCGGTAAGAGTAGAGAATATTCGTAGGTTACTAGTATTTGATCATAGTTGCTTCGAACACATTGCTCGTATATCCTGGGACCATCGAGTAAGTAACACAGTTGTTAGGAAACGGGTACTAAGTAAGGATGGAAAATCAATTGATGAAGTAATGGAACTTCATCAGTTGAAATGGCTGGGTCATGTATTACGTATGTCCATCCACCGACTGCCAAGACGTGCGATGTTTCATGGTGGAGTATTTTGGAAGAAAGCTAGGGGCGACCAGACCAAAACAGGAAACAAATCCATGAAGTCACTCACAAATGGACTGAGCCATGCTGGTAGGTGTAGACTACCTGGTTGGGATCCGTGAGACGACAGCAACCGATGGTTAGAGACCTTGAATGACATGGCTCAAAATCGTTTGCAATGGTGTGAGCAGGTGCATCTACTCTGTTCTCCGAAATTATGATCTTCTGAATTCTTCATGAACTTTTTTTCCTTCCAAATTTATTTCACTGGATTATACTCCTTGAATAACATCTTCAAGCCATAATCTTTCCGATTACTGCTTATAATTTTACTACCTCTACAACTAGAGGATTTGAATCGACAACTGCATCTGTGCTAATGTGGTACGGCAAGTTGAACTGATGTACGTACGTACAAAGTTTTACGTTGTTACTGACTGACTGGAAAACTTCAGATGAGCGTTTGATAGGGTGCCACATAGTATGTTCCTATTGAAACTGAGTGGCTTAGTTTTTGGATCCGCGCTTAAGTGGATCAAAGACTTTTTGATTGTCAAAAAAAGATTCTAAATGCTCCTTGAGGGAATTAATACTTCATGAAGTACCGCGAGGCATCATTTTAGATCTTTCAGTTTTTTAAATCAATATGAGTGAATCGTCGATGCTACTTTTCACAGGCAAACTAAAGATCTAGAAAGTGACGGAAGATGACGATGGCGCACTCCAGACCGGTCTAGACTCCCTGATAAGCTGTTCTAAAAGTAGCCAACATCTATCAATATCATCAAGTCTATAGACACGTCAGACATGTTTATGTTGGTTGTGTGAAGCGTCAGTGCCCCTAGTCTTGTCTCAATGAATTATGGGTGAGAGTTACGACCAAAGACTACGGCTTACTACTAACCAGGGTTAGAGGGATTGGAACCACATGAGTGTCATGACCATTTACTAAGTTGGATACAAATGTTATATATGGTATATACAGACCATATAAAGTCCAAACTAAAAACTGTATTCAGGCCACAAACTTTGTTCAAAGTAGTAGGCAGCTTTCTGGGAAACTTCGGAACTGAGGCTTATCATACAGACCTGAGAAGTCTTTTAGAAACTTGAGGTGAACTAATTTTGATGTACAGGATACTAAATGAGCTTGGACCTGCTATATCTCCCCCCTCCCACAACTACGCCAGGATAACTCATGGGAAACAAGATTGAGAAGACGAGAACAGACGATATCCCCTCGGCATCACAGGTCCTCCCATTGGGTTGCCAATTTTTAGGGACCACTAACTGAAGGAGTGTCCATATTTTTAATCAACTTATTGAAGAGAATTTACACTCGTAGAAGCTTAATAAAAACAAACTAACGTCCCAATCTTTCAATTTTGGGGAGAATTCTGACCGTTTAGAGGATTTCTCCAAGCTTTGGGGAAAACCCCAAAATAGGGAGATTGGGGCAAAATGTTTGGTCAACAGTGCTCAACAAATAAATCTAAATTTAAACAAGTTGTATTTGCGAGTCTGTAGCCAGTGGTCTTCAAATGTGACAAACAGATTGTCTAGCAACAACACGAAGTAAGACTTCCCTTGAGGAACATTCACCACCGACCCTGAACTACGTAATCGGAATGAAGTACGTTTACATGTAAATCTTGGAGATTCACGTTACTGTGACACCATTACAACCGACAATATCATAATCATCTACACGCGAAACATGGGTGGTTACCCCTAAAGTAAAGAACCTGGGGAATGATGAATGATATTTTGTATCGATGGGAAAAACAAAGCAACTTACACGAAGCGGTATGTATGTCCCGAAGCCGACCAAGATGGACCCTGGTAGCGCAGATAAACAACTAGACGCTAATGTCATAAATTATTTTAAATAAGTATAGATAAATTATGAGAAGTTGATTCTTGACGAATTGAGGTACGCAATCTCAATGGGTTGATGATTCCTCCAAGCAAAGATTAAAGATTATGAAAAAAGAAATGGGGGGAATAAATGATAATTCATTGAGAAGCCATTCTGGGTCATTATGAAAGTATCACATCACTTTTTTAAAAGTCATAAAGATGGAAGTTGGCCAGTTACATATTTCAGGGAATCTGCAGAGAATGACTATTTCAACTACTGTACACCAAATATGTTTCATTACGACTAGTTTGATTTTAAGATTGCTATCTAATTCTAAACTTTAAAACTGATTTTGGGTCTAAACTTTCCCAACTCTCTTTACTGCATATTATTTTCATTCTAGTTACCAGTCGCTAATTTGAATTATCAATCTGTAGACCTGTCAATCCCACCATGGAAGTCAAGATATTTTTGAGAACAATTTAGAAGACCACTAAAATGTCCATGAAAACCAACTACTCGCTGAACATCGGGCATGATTTCATTAAGGAATTATCGTGCATAGTCAGCTTCCTTATGGCAAGAAAGAGATAGACAAAGTCGCTTTAGTGGCAAATCAATTAAATTCGCATGTATCTGATATCACAAAAAATTATTACTTTTCAGGAGAAGTGGACAAAATTCCACATTTCCTTATGTCCAAATAAGTCCAATCAGCCCTACTGAAAGACTCTTAAAGGGAAACATATTTTGTCATGGATCCAACACAGTACCTAAAACTGAACTTCTAAATTTTCTAATTCGGTTTTTCTTTAATATACCAAAGCTCCAACCTAGAGGCACTTATTTTCCATTTAGGATGGACTTGAAAGCTCTGCAGCGGTATATAGATCCCAAAAACAAATATTCCTGTCGGTCCCCGACAATGTTTCTGACCTCAGTAGTTTTACTGGACGCACCCTAGCTGAAAGCGTTAGATCGCGCACGTGCATCAGATCACCATTGCGTACACCCTGAAACACATCATTTGCAACAGCTAGTCAGACTAAGTCAAACACTTTTTGACACTACGAATACCTTCCAAATGTATATTCGAACCCCTACATTCCTGGTTTCTGATTTTACTGGGTCGAGATCTTTTTGATCAGAAAGGATAAACTCCAAGTGTTCTTTATAGAAATCAGTATTTAGTGGAGTACTGAATACATATATATGTCATCAAATTCCCAGTGTTGCCATATACTGGTGGTATGTAAATCTGGAGAGAAGCACTTGGGGATGCATCTGTGTGTGCACTTCGGGTCAATCTGAACGTCCTGGTTAGCTGGTCTAAGACCTAGTTTATGCGTATCATTGTAGAGATTAGAGATATGAAGAAAAATAGCCATTGCATTGGATAATAGTCGGTTTCCTCAGTTTTGTCCCACAATGATCCATAGGTAACAGTGAGTCATGTTCTGAAGACTGATGCCCACTTCCATGAATCACCGCCAAGATGTTCAAAATCCTACCGACATTATGTTATAAAACTAAGCACTAAGTTGGATGGATCCAAACAAGTTATTAGATCACAGCAGATCCTTGGACCTGACGTGATAGACTCCTCAATAATTTCTTTTATTACTGCAGGCAGGCACAGACAAAATTTTATGTTAGTAATACCACTCATATATTCGTCTACTGACTGCTGAAGTGTGTGTACCTAATTAGTTTGACTGCATATCACACTGTCTTCTGATTTCCTTACCTGAGGAGAGGGTAAATATTAATCTAACAAGAGATGCTTCCTTGTTTAAGAAGAAATATTTTTATATGCCCATTAACAGATGAGCTGGAGGTCAACTGGAGCACTGCATCTCGAGGTGCGACAATAAATCCATGGGAATTCGAGGTATTTGTACAAACTAGTGATTCTTTTGTACTTGGTTGCCCGCTGATTACGATTTCCAAATTCATTCATTTGTGCTCACATAGTTCCATTTAACTTAAATTGCACTATTTCTAGAATCCCTAGTTGGCACTTTAGTTTGAATTTTCCTAATCATCATACTGACTTTACGATGGAGCCTGTGTTTGAACAATTGGACATACGTTCGAATTCTGAAGCTTTCAAAGATTACATGGAAAGGTTTGAAATCTGGAGTATCACCAGGAAAGATGTAAGGGATGATAAAACCGTGGCTTACGTCCTTACATTCATCAGAAAGGATGCCTTCAGTTTACTATACACGGGAACTTTTAAATAAGTCTATTTCATTTCCCTACGCAACTTTCAAGGAACTACTAGTAAATTATGTAAAATGTACTAATTTCAGTTCCATGAAGAAGCGAAATTTCAAAAAGCGAAACATCAAGAATTCTACATTACTTGATCGTCCCAATCCAATGCATACTAAAGGTCAACCAGATGTCAATTCATCGAGAAGTTGCAAAGCAAGACTTGGTAAATGCCTAACTAATGATAAGTTTCATCTACGTAATTCATGTGTCTTTCGTCATGCCAAATGCTTTAAGTTTGGAAATATGGGACGCATAAAATCTGTTTGCAGAGCTACTGTTTACTTTGCCACAAGTGATTATAAACTCCGTAATTCGTATTTTATGAAGTTGGGCGTTTCTAGTGATCCTTTATCTTTATCCACGATTTCGGAAGGTAATGTCCATAGTCAAAAGCAATTATATACCCTCCTTGGTTCATTTCATAGCTTTATTGTTGACACAAGTAGCTTGAGTCACATCTCAGTTCGTAATCAAACGAAGCTTCGTTAACCTAGCATAACTCTGAAACTAAACTCCAACCAAAATAAACTCATACATCGCGTGATATTTGCCTGGAAAGCTGGAGGACCTCGTATTCAGAAAATAACTGGAACAGCGCAATTAATACAAGTGCATGAAATGAAAGTCAAAACCATTGTGGGACAAAAGTTTCCAATGAATCAAATTATTATCAGATTTTTCATGATATTTCACCAGATATGAGATATCTTAATGATTCTCATATCTTTGATGAAAATTCTGACAAAAATGAGAAAAATATGTTGAATGGGTCAAGTCATGATCAGAAATCTAATGCGATTTTGAATAGATGCTGATTTTTCTCATGATCCATTGTTCTCAAAAGAAATTCCCAATAAATTTGAGGAAAATATTCCAGAAGTATTAAATCCCGAGGTCATATAAAGTGCAATTTGTCCTCATAATACATTTGTTTCTGATGAGAGACTTGGTCAGTGTGAAACATGAGTTCTAAGTGATTTCAAACGTGATTACCGTTCGGATGACTTCATATCAAATTCTATTTATCCTCAAGTGAATCCTCTTGTCAATGTAAGAAATATGTTTCAAATAAAGCCACATTATTTGTAACTTGAGGATATGAAGATCCAACATTATTTCTTGGGTGAGAATAGTGTTGGAAAATCTATGGTTCCGTTTCTAGATAACAGTGATTTAAGTACACATGTTGGTTAGATACAATTCCAGGAACCAGGTTAGTCTTTTTCACTTTCAGTTGTTAAGTTCAACACTAATTAGTACATCCTGAACCACTCAGTGTCTACATCCAGTACGCAGTCAAACAGACACACAATGAACCTAAGAAGACGTACAGTCGATTAAAGAAATTTAGATTCTACTTTAAGCTGTGGCACATGCGTTATTATTACGAAATAATGATTCTTTTGTACTTATGTAGTTCTAGATGCTGTGAATTTCATTATTTCGGGAATTTTTACTGTGTACAACAATTCAAATATTTTTAGTCATCATAGAATTCGGCACCAATATTCGTACACTTTGCTCACAATTTCAGCTCTTAGAGAAATCCGTGATTCCATTTGAGGACCTCTCAAATTTAAACCATACACAATCATAGGATGTGAAATAATAAATCGTCCGTCTATCAAAGTCAGAGAATCTTAAGAAACTGACGAGCGGAAACGGGTCATAGGTCATCATCCAAGTTCTGAAGTCATCAGTAAGTCTTGGTCAGCGATAATATTGTGGATGAAGCGGTCTTAAAAATGGATATAAACTCCTCCATGCTACAATTAACACTGAATACACAAGGCCTCATTGAACACACATTGAGAATAGGATGGTTTATGTTGTTCGTCAGAATAAGATCGAGATGGGACGAAAAACTTCCCTGGCTTATCTTCGAACACTTAACATAACGAAAATCGTGATATTCGGACAAAAGTTTTTCAGTAGGAACTGAAAGTATTCGACTTGTTAGAAACTTATGTTGACTATCACCACTCTCACTGTTTTGGATAAATTTGTTTTGCTCAAAATATTAAGTGGTCTGTTAATTACTTAGTGCATATACATCTTTGGTTTGCCAGTTTTTGATTCGGTATTTTCGCTCCTGAAACAAAATTTGAAAAACGTTATGTTTGGGTTGATTACTCGTAAGGTACGAATTAACTTTGGTACCAAAACTGCGATTTGGTTCTCTTGTTCCCTGGTTCACAAGGTAAAAGTGTATCAGTCGAACGTGCTTCAGTAGGGAACTAAGGCAAAACCTGGATACTACAGTTTGATAGTTTACTTGGGTGCCCATTTTATCAGACTTTTATCTGGCAACAATTGCGATAGAACTTTCGAAGAAATGTAAATTTCTAGGGGATAGGGATAAACGCTCAAAGATACTTTGAAAGACATTTCTCTGAGTCAAGAACAAACCTGACCGGTAGATAATACAAAGTTTACATATATGCTCTCGAGGATTTAGAATCTAGCCATAGCAAATCCTTAATCTTAAAAATTAGGCCAAAAGCAGCCCACGAAACGAAATCTGAAAGCGCTACTGTATTTGCGAGACACGGAAGACTGACCCCAGACGAACCTGAAATCGCGAAAACTGAATTTGACTGCACACTAAAGTCAGAGATTCTGAGTACACAAACCGCGAAAAATCTATGCCTAGTTGAGTTTGAG